ATATATAAGAAAGGGAAAAAGGAGGCTCCAGGGAACTACAGACCAGTCAGCCTCATCTCAGTCCCTGGAAAAATCATGGAGCAGATCCTCAAGGAATCCATTTATAAGAATCTGGAGGAGAAGAAGGTGATTAGGAACAGTCAGCATCAATTCACCAGGGACAAGTCATGCCTGACCAACCTGATTGCCTTCTATGATGAGGTGACTGGCTCTGTGGACGCGGGGAGACTACTGAATGTGATGTACCTTGATTTTAGCAAGGCTTTTGATACAGCCTCCCACAACATTCTCTCAGGCAAGCTAAGGAAGTAGGGGCTGGATGGATGGACTAATGTGGATAGAAAACTGGCTAGAGCATCCAGCTCAGAGAGTAGTAATCAATGGCTCAATGTGTAGCAGCAGCCGGTAACAAGTGGGGTGGCCCAGGGGTTGGTCCTGGGGCTAGTTTTGTTCAATGTCTTCATCAGCAACCTGGAAGATGGCATAGAGTGCAACTTCAGCAAGTTTGCAGATGACACCAAGCTGTGAAGAGTAGTAGATATGCTAGAGGGTAGAGCTAGGATTTAGAGTGACCTAAACAACTTGGAGGATTGAGCCAAAAGGAATCTCATGAGGTTCAACCAGGACAAGTGCAAAATCCTGCACTTAGGACGGAGCAATCCCATGCACTGGGACAGGCTGGGGGTGACTGGCTGGTCAGCAGGTCTGCAAAAAAGGACCTTGGAGTTGCAGCAGACAGTAAGCCGAGTATGAGCCAACAGTGTGCCCTTGTTCCAAGAAGGCTAACAGCTTAGTGGGCTGCATTGGTACAAGTGTTTCCAGCAGGTCAAGAGAAGTGATTATTCCCCTCTGTTCAGCCCTGGTGAAGCCACATCTGGAGTACTGTGTTCAGTTTTGGGCCCCCACCACAGAAAGGACGTGGACAAATTGGAGAGAGTCCAGTGATCCACAGGAAGACTAGCAAGTATGGCAGAAGACCAGCTTGGCTTAGTAGGGAACTCTTCAGTAAACTAAATCACAAAAAGGAAGATTACAAGATCCACCCATGGAACTGTACCATCCATGGAACTGTACTATCTGGCCCGCTAGGCTGCTTATGGGTCTGAAAATTTGGCAGAAGGAGTGGTGACAGCGTTTGTTGCCACCCCGCTGCTGCCAAATTTCCAAACCTGTGTGAAGCCTGGAGGACTAGATAATATGGCCCCACATACTAACTCAGGTGTGTGGGGCTGGGAGCACACAGGCCTGGATCCTGGCACATGGGACTGGGCCAAAGCCGTGCAATGCCCAAACCTGTGCACTGACTTATGGAGGATCCATCCCATGGACAGGCCCTGTGCCACTCATCCAGACTATGGGACTGAAAGCATGAGTACTGCTGGACTGGAATGATGAATTCTGTATCCTGCAATAGAGGAAGAGAATACATAGTACAGGCATGTCTGATCATCTGAATCCATCTTTATTAGTGGATTCTTCTGAATTCATGTTCATGTCCTACTGTTTAATCAGACCATCAAGTTGCTGCGTGGAACTGGTCAACTCAGTGGTGTGAAAACCCCTCTGCAGTCCTGTGTTATCCTGGCAAAGTGGTCCAGACCGAGAAGAGCCTGCTTCTCCCAGTCTGCTTCAGCGCAGCTCTCGCACCCCACTCTCACCTGCCAGGGAGTTGGTTCTAAAAGGCCCCAACAAGATACTCAACCACATCTGCAGCGTCTAACTGTGTAATAACTGAGTAATTTTACAAGGTAATTACAGGGTTATTTTTGCTCTCTAAAATAAAGACCTACCTCATAATTAAAAATAAAGAGAATGGCACTTCTAATTATCAGGCTTTAATTAGGCTGACAGATGCACACACGATGCTGCAAGGACTGTGTTCTTGATATTTGCTCTCATTCCTGCGCATACACCCATAGGAATGTTAACTCTTTCACTGCTGCAGAAGAAAGCAATGGTGCTGCTTTGACACACCTATGCTATGTTCCATTGTAATGCACCTTGCTGTGCATGAGAGAGCCATGCAAGATGTGCAGTTTTTCCCCATTTGCCGGGCAAAGAGCCTGCCAAGCCTCCCTGCTATGCTTGAGTACAAAGGGTCATTGTTAAAAGCAAACTGCTGTTGGATTATCCTGTGCACTTAATCCTAAGAACAACACTACCTTGCTCACGACTGTGCTTGAGCACTTCCAGGAGCGCAGTAAGTGCAACATAAGCAATATTAATCTTCTGTGAGTCTCTCACCTTTTTGCATCCAAAAGGGAAAACTGAGGTCACCTTATGTAAGGCCTGCGGTGCTGTGTGTGTCACAGCAGGCCACATCAAAGAGGCACGCCTTGCCTGGGAAATGGAAAGCGCTGATGTTTGAAGTGGCGCTTCAATCCTGAGAGACTTTATTCCACAGCCTTAGGCTGGCCCAGAGGGGTTTACCCAGGCCATGGACAGCCCCGGTGTCTCAGACTAGAGCAGCAGGCCACTTTTTTAAGTAACTTGAACATGGATCACTAAGGGTGTTTCTACACATGCCCCAGTGGTAGGGAGGCAGGCGAGAGCCTCTCTAAAGCACAGCAGCATCTTGTGTATCAGGCAGTGTCTTGTGTATTCAGTGTCCCACATTTCAAAATGACAGTGGGGGTGCTTTAACTAAAACTTGTAGAACGAGCTTTAGTTAAACGCCCCCACCACCGTTTTGAAGCATGGGGATGCTGATACATGAGACAGAGGCTGGCTGGAGCATGCTAATTAACACGCTCCAGCAGACTCAATCAAGTCTGCTCCAATGCGCTGTAATAACGCATCAGAGCAGCCTCCCCATACATTTACAGGTACCCTAAGTGCTTAAGCTGGAGTGGAGGCATATTTACGCTGGCCGTGTCTACAGGCTGACTGTGCAGTCGATACTGTGCAGTTGTTTAGTAAATGGCTGCACAGTAACTGACGCTGACGAACGGCTTTTTCATGACACTGACAGGATGGTAGCTCATGACTACTATGCAGTAGTGTCATGTCACGCTTCCTGCCATGTGACACTACTGCGCAGTAGCCACAGGCTACAGACGCAGCCACTGTCTATATTATCTTGATGATGAAGAGGTGAAAATACTGGCCCACTAAAGTCATGGGCAAAACTCCTATTTAATTCACTGAATCAAGGATTTCACCCAAGAACATTACACCACACCGTATTTCATCTAATTATAGGGAGGAGTCTGCTCTTAAGCATCCCTGGAAATTCTAATCTCAACTTTGATACCTGCTATGAACTGATCTGCATACTGCTGCCTGACATCTGATCTTAAGCCATCTAGCTTAGTAACTTGTACAAAGTGTAATTTTAAGATAGGAGCCATAAATAAGTGTGTTCCATCTCTTCACATTTTAATGGAAGATAATCATAGCCTGGTATCTCTTCATGCTTAAAATATTGCTGAAAATACACTTCTTTCTTCATACCAGAATCTGTTTGGGGTCCATGCTCCCTGGGGAGTTCAAGGGAAGTGTGTTATAAAGTGAACATATAATGGATTTATTCTAGTTAAGTGCCTAGGTGCAGGAGACTGTCTTCAGAGACAATGTCATAAAATTCACCTTCGTTTCACCAGTGCGTCAGAGGGCTGCTCGTGTCATAAATGGGACATAACATTTTCTTTAAAATCTCAGCCCTAGAGCTAATTAAAAATGAGGAAAAAATACTGGTACAGTTATAAGAGTGTAGAGGTTTTAGCTTTTAGCTGCTGTTTTGCATCTCTGATTCAGACCAGCTTTGTTTAGCTGAAAGTTTAACTGTTGTCTTCTGTTTAACCATAATCACCTGATCTCAGACCTTTCTTCCCTTTTCTCGACTTGGAAAAGAGTAAAAGGGTAGGGTACCTTCCTTTTTTGATAAGTCTTCTTTTTCTACTGGTCAGGAAGCTTCAGACATAGACACTAGATCCTTTACCAAAGGGACCCATCAGGAAGCACAGATGAGTGCAACTAACCCAGTTCAGCTCTGCTCAGGTTAGGCATAACTGCTGGAGTGTGGATCGGTGCACCTCAAAAGCAGCATGTTCCTTTGTCCTCTTATTATATGAAGGACTCTTCTGCAACTGTTGGTCCTACATTCCCAATACTGAATGAGTGAAAGGTCCAAAGAACCTGAAGAACAGACAAAGAGCAACCCCAGGGGTGACACTAGTTCTACTCCAAGCTTAGCAAAGGTTGGAAGGGCTGGAGAGAGGAGCAATGGTTTCCACCCACACCTCCCAAACTCCTCCCCAGCCTGGGCACCAGAAGAAACTCCTGAGCTAGGCCTCCTGTGTTGCACTATGCAGCTGGCTCGGCCAGTATCTGAAAAAGAGAGAGGCAGCTGGTTAATGACATCCAACTGGAATGACACAGAGAAAAGGAGAGTGGTGACAAGATTCTTCCAAATACACAGAAGACATTTATGAGATGAGCACTGAATTCCTGAAGGCATTTCAGTTTGAATAGCCAACCAATGGGTAGATTTTCCTTTGCACACGTACTTAGAAGTGTATATTGTTTTCCATTACTGACACGGCTGGGTGCCTCCCATCAATAAATGCAATCAATTGAAAATCAACAGAATGTAACAGAACCCCCCTGCTGACTTACACACAATCCCAGACTCTTATTCTAAAACCTGACAGCTCTAAATAACCTAGGCCAGATTCTCAGCTGATTTTTCACTGACAGAAGAGACAGTGTGTTACCTTGAAGCTAACCAAACTCAGATGATGCATTCTGCTCTATTTCTACTGCTTGTTTCATTCACTTGGATTAAGCTATGGGCTTCCAGACTGAACTGGAGCCTTTAGCCTTTCCCTTAGACTACTGATACAATTTATTTTCTCACCATATGCCTTTCCCCCTAAAAAACTAGCTGCTGGATATTGGAGCATTATATGTGAGAGATATGGTAAGAGCAGGTTCTGCCACTTACTGGGTGAAAATTAAAGTCAAATCTGCAACAAGCCACAGGAAGCAGGGTTGGCTACCTAGCTGCTGCAACTCAGTTACTTACTCCAAGGAAAGACCTTTTTTTCTTCATTCTGAGCATCAAAAACACAGTGTATTCTGGGATGTGGTACATGCAAGAACGTATGGTACCTTCAGAGAAGCAATGTAGTGTTGCCAATGGGATTTTGGCCAAGGCTGGAGTCAGTCTAGAGGATGCAAAGAAGCCCAGCCCTCCCTTGTACTTCAGTGATGCCTTGGGAAGACCCCCCTTTGATTAGCTACTTCTCTTACCTGCCTCCTAGGGTAGAGCAACCCTTCAAGGCTACTGTATGGAGGAAGACCTAGTTCTTCTCCCTCCACTCAGCAGCTCGGCAACATCCGCACTCGAGGAGGGACCTGAGGGAGCTCAGGGAAGCCATGTTCTTCCTCCCCTTTGAGCAATGAAAACGGCTTCTCCTTCCCCTTCAGCACCTGCCTTCGGAGGGCAGAAAACGTTAAGCCGCCTGGGACAACCTGGAAGGAGAAGGGCACCCCTCCTCATCTCCCCCCAAGCCTGCCAAAGCAGCATGAAGAGCCTCAGGAACAGCAGAGGTGAGGCTGCGAGGAAAGGATGAGGAGGGTGACCCCAGCTAGGGGGATGTGACAACGGGCAGATCTGACAGGGGCCTCGGGTGGACAGGATTGATTTGGGGGCTGAGGGCAGAAATAATTTCTGGGCAGGGCCAGGCAAAGGGGAAGGGTAAGAGCTCCTGCAGCAGAGGCCAAGGTGACTTTATTCAGTAAATCAGGGAGCGCTGGCAAAACTGATCATCACACGGATCTATAATGGTAATATAACCTTTTTGTAAAACAATTACTTCATGTTTTGGGGGTCAAGCTCCTGGTTTTTTAACCTCTGGAGCTGACAAGATGCAGTCCTACCAGGAGGCATTTCTCCGCTCAACATAGAGGCTGGGCCTCCTCTGATAAGCCTGGGCATTCACCCTTCTTTGGGCCAGTTGCTTTGCCCCACAAAGCTGCTCCTCAGACCAGTTTGAAAGTAACACGTGGGAAGCGGAGCTGGCTTCTCTGCAGGTCCCCACTCATACCAGAGAGAGCACGTAACCCACAGAACGCCCTTCCTGCCCATCCCTGGATGCTGCGCTCATCCCTCAGACAAGGCTGTCTACCTTTACCTGCTGTGAAGCGCCCGTCGGTCATACAGAGCATGCCTTTCATGTTCTATTGTAAATGCTGTGAAGGGCAACGCCTGTAATTACTGTGCTTGCACACCCAGCCCAGCTTTAGTAAGATAAACTTCTGTATCTACCTTCAAACTAAATATCTGGAGGTGGGGGACAAGATAGATGTTTTATCCCCAGGAGTGTGTGGTTATTTTTACATAAACTGTCCACAAAAGGGCAACTCACATGTAAACTATCCACAGAGCTGAAAAAGAAAGCGTGTTGTAACAATATGGTCAAGTTTTTCCAGCCCAGCTGGTTGTCAAGAAAGGCTCAGGCCCAAGTGTGCCTTGACGTGCCTTGAATTAGTCCTGCACAGTGTTCAACTTCCCTCTCTCTGTTTCTCAGTTTGCCACAAGGCCTCAGGAGAACTAACGGAATGACACTACGGGCGGTTATGAAGCTGGTGTGCAATGAGCGGCTTGGAAGGGATGTACGTGACTTGCTCATCTCGCTAAACTCGGCCTCTTGCTAGTGATTTCAGCAGGAGCAGAAGCAGATCCTGAGAGGTCAGTGCCACCTCTCGCTGTCAGCCTCTCTGTCAAAATCTTCCACTCTCCTTTGTGAGTCAGCCAGTCATGAGAATGGTATATTCACTGACAAAGCACTGGTAAGAGAGCTAAAGTTGCTCAGTGGTATCTTGTGCTTTTCTGGAGCAATGTGCTCAGCAAAACGCCAGCTTCTGAAAAGCAGGAGTTAAAGAGCGAAGGTACTTCTAAGGAAAGCTTATGAAAAGCAGGAAGTCAGAAGAAGGCACACTTCATGTCATGTAGCTAGGGACCTACCGAATTTAGGGCAGTTGCCCCCTGATTTTGTGGTCCCAGCATAGCATGAGGTGCTATTTATGCGTTGGAGTGTGGCAGGCCCTGTCCTCACACCTCTGATTGGTGAAGGGGCCTCAGAAGTCCTGCCCCTCCCCAGAGATTGACAAACAGATGGCCATCTGTCGATCTCTGGGAAGAGGCAGGACAGCCAGGGCCCCTTAGCCAATCAGAGGTATGGGGAGAGGGGTGAAGCGCTCCACCACAAAAATCCACACACCCCCCCTCTTTGTTGCCCTCTCTCCCTTCCCCATGCTTCAGGATGCCAGGGCTTTGCACCTTTTTCTGTTTGAAGCTCCCTTTTCTGGGGGTGGGGTCCCTGCTTGCTGGTCATTTTTGCACCTTTTCACGGTCTCCATACTTTTTAATGGGGACTGGGCTTCTTTGCAGGAGACCTACCAATTTTGTGGTTTCCATGAAAATCACAAAATCACAGTTTTGGTAGGTCCCTACATATAGCCCTTCCAACCCAGTCAACTCTTTCAACTCCAGCCAGCATCTAACCCCCACCCCACAAATCCTCTCTCTCATGGAAGACAGAGTGAGGGGTCCAGGCCACCCAAAAATGACAGGGCAGCCCCAGGTGCCAGCTCACCTGGGGCAAGGGAGATCCTGGTGTACATGGAAGGTAAAATATGAGGCTGATTGGCCCCTTAATACAACTCACTCCCTCTGTTCTCTAACTCCATGTCTTTCCCTTTCATCCTGACCCCTTTCCCTGGATTGAACACTCCAAACCTCTCTGCTACCAACCCCATTTCCCTCCCCACCCCCCGGCTCCTAATCCCCCCCTCAGCTCTTCCCCTATTCTCCCAAATTCCTCTCCCTCAGCACTGCTTCTACCCTACACCCTCATTGTTCTAAGCCTATTTTCCCTGGTGATAAACCCTATTTAAAAAGATCTAAAAATGTTAGGTGCACCTCTTGTTCAAGGGCTGTGTATCAGGAACCACTTAACCTTAAGAACACTCAGTTCCATTATTCAGGAAGCAAGATTATATTATCCTGTCTTTTATCTTCCTACTGGTTAGTCAATACTAAATGATTGATCAGTACTAGTGCTCTGCTGCCAGGTAGAAAAGTACAGGCCCAACAGTCTCTCTCCTATGCCAGTGCTGCATGCATAATTTATTAGCATTCAGAAAATAGTTAAGAGTCTCTCCTAAATTAGCAGAGCACACTACCCCAAGCAGAGTGTAGCAGCTTGCCTACAGATCTTTCTCTGACATCTCTCAAGGATGATTGGGTTCAAATTTACACATCAGGGTGAAACAGGTCCAGTGGCCAAGGCACACTCTTATGATGGCTGTTCAGCACATCTCATCTTAGAGAATCAAACTCTTTCTTTAACGCAGTGGTTCTCAATATGTGGACAATAAGATAGATATGAGTCAGCAATGTGCCCTTGTTGCCAAGAAGGCTAACAGCATACTGGGCTGCATTATTAGGAGCATTGCCAGCAGATTGGGGGAAATAATTATTCCCCCCTATTCTGCACTGGTGAGGCCTCATCTGGAGTACTGTGTCCAGTTTTCAGCCCCCCACTACAGAAAGGATGTGGACAAGTTGGAGAGAGACCTTCAGAGAGCAATGAAAATGGTTTGGGAGCTGGGGCACATGACTTATGAGGAGAAGCTGAGGGAACTGGGCTTATCTAGTTTGGAGAAGAGAAGATTGAGGGGGGTTGATAGCAGCTTTCAACTACTTGAAGTGGGGTTCCAAAGAGGATGGAGATAGACTGTTCTCAGTGGTGGCAGAACAAGGAGTAATGGTCTCAAGTTGCAACAAGGTTAGTTTAGGTTGGATATTAGGAAAACATTTCTCACTAGGAGGGTGGTGAAGCACTGGAACAAGTTACCTAGAGAAGTGGTGAAATCTCCATCCTTGGAGGTTTGTAAGGCCCGTCTTGACAAAGCCCGGCCTGGGATGACCTAGTTGGGGATGGTCTTGCTTTGAGCAAGGGGTTGGACTAGATGACCTCTTGAGATCCTTTCCAATCCTAACTTCCTATGATTCTATGATTTTTTAACTTGAGGCACCCCTCCAAAATTGTTGTGAATTGAGTGGCACCCAGTTTCAAAAACTAATTTATATATTACAGTACTTACCTCCTTGCAGAGGGACCTTGCAGTGAGGGGTCGGGGATCAGCCACAGTGACAAGCCTGAGCTTATCCGCTTAGCTTATCTGCTTATCTCCTCACACCTTGTGGCAGCCTTCAAAGGATCTGGCATCACCCAGGGTGCCACAGCTCCCTAGTTAAGAGTCATTGTTCCAATGAGCTTTTCAATACTCCTTCCTCAAAGAGGCCATGGGTATCGTGGTCTAGCTGAGATAAACATAGAGTAGCTGAGATCTCCTGAGGGGACACTGAAACCCAAACAAACATCTTTTTTTCAAAAAGTTTTTAAAACATGTTAGAAGAGTACCATATTTTCTCACATACAGTGCACTCCGGAAAATAATCCACACCTTGTTTTTGAAAGGCAATATGAAGAAAAACATATTTTTCGGGAGTTATGACTGCATAGATCAGAGAAAAAAGTGTAATCATCAGCTGACTCACCCTCCCCTTCCTGCTTAACTAAAGCTCAAACCCTAGCTGATGGTGAAGATTGGTCTCCATGGTTGGATCAAGAATTTTGAAAAGAGCCAAAGAGTCTCCAAGGCTATGAAATAAGAGAAGAGATACCAATAGCAGCTAGCAGACAGCAAAATTGCCCCAAGGTGGATTAGCTTGATTAGTGAAACATCAGGAACATTAAAAGGATAGATAATGTTAACACCTCTGGAGTAAAGAAGAATGAGCCATTAAGTCAATTGACTCTCCCAGCTGCTTGAATAATAACAGCTGTTGCACTGTGGAGCAGGAATTAAGCATGGTGTTTCTATCTTGGTCAGAAAATCAGCTGCCCTCATTAATACACACACCCCAGTTTTGGGGGGCTGATTTGGCAGAAAAGGTGTGTGTGTTGTATACAAGAAAATACCCCGCATGTGCACACGCACGCATGTGTATGTACACTGAATTTTACAGTATTTTTTATGGAATCCCTAGCTTAAATTACACCAAACTTGGACTGCTGTCATTTCTCTTCCACCTTCTTATCTGGTACTCTGTTTAACTGAAAACATTGTTCAACTATAAGTACGAGTAAGCTGGAACTCCCCTGTCATACAATTTCTTCATCTTCGCCTCTGTATAAGGAGCCACCTCCTAGTCACCAGGAGATACCAGGCTGTCTACTTTGTCTAGCGTGCTAACTTTGTTAGTTATTTCTTGTTCTTTACATCTATAAACACATGGCTGGTATTCAGCAAGCAAATAAAGGACTAGAAACGATGACAGAAAAGAACTAGAGATTAGCATGTAGTCTTTAAAAATATCTATGTGGGTTTCATGATCCCATTACAGGGTTTCTATGGTGAGGTATTGGTTTGTGTGTTGTAAGTGGAAATGTTACCTATCTCCCCTACCTATCTAAGTAGAAGGATGATCAAACCTCTCAGCAACTTCTATCTCCACAAAGTTACTCCAGATTTTCTTAATAGGCTGTTATGGCCATGGAATGCTCTGTCCCATTGCCCAGTGTGGGGTAGATGAAAGGTGGGTAATTGACTTCCCACTGGATTTGGTCCACCTATGCCAAGGCCTGATTTTGGCTCATCTGCTTCCACACTGGTTCCTGTCCAAACCTTAACTGTGGTCAAATACAGAGTTCAACCACTAGATGGAGTATTCCTCTAATTGTTTAAAATCTGGCCTCTGGCCACCTTTAGAAGACACAACAGTAAAAGATCTACTGATCCATGAAGTGTCAAAAGAATTAAGGATGAGAGCATGCAACTCCTAACTTCCCACTGGAAGTTAACTCACCTGAGTTTTCTGACTCTTGTAGCTTTAAATCTGTAATGTCCCTTGATGTGCCTGGTACAGGTAGGGACTGATCAGAAAAAAAAAAACGGTTGGAACCTTTCCAACCAGAGTTTGGTTCATTCCACTATATTGATAAATACCAGAAATAAAGTTGACACCTAGAAGGTCTGACATCTCCAAATTCTGGAGCGTTGGCATCTGGTGTTTTAGTTTGGCTCCTATTTAGCTTCTGTCTATGGACAGATTGTAGCTGTTTGGACTGATACAATTTGGTAGTGCACAGAAGAATTTGGCGGCTTTGCAGGTGGAAGGGGTCACAGGTTTGGCTATGTGAGAAGGAGATGGGGGGGGTTTACCAGTGGATGGAAAGTGAAAACCACCATGCAATTAGGGTTTGTCAGAATGTGGGTGTTGTGAACGGGTTGCTTGTTTGTCCCAGGTGGGCTGGCAAGGAAGACATGTCCTTGCCAAAGATGTGACTTTGACTGTCAATCTATGTTAAGGAATTAAGACTGGGAATTGGAAGTGCTGTGAAGTTCTATTTTGTTCTAGACAAAAATAGGAGGAAGACAAGTACAGAGAATAAAGTTCAGAGCATGCAGGGCAGTGATATCATGTGCAGTCAAACCTTTCTATGTCTTAATGCAGGGGTTTTCAACCTCTTTTAGTCTAAGTACCCCTGATGGCCAGACACCGAAAGGGGGGTGGGGGTAGCGCACAGCCGAACACCAAGTGGGGGGGTGCCAAGTGGGGTGTCACAGGGACAGCAGGCGGGAGGGCAGGAACAGAGTGCTGCCGCCTCCCAGGAGCAG